CAACGCACAAGGTGGAATAGAAAGACACAAAGCAAGAATGGTTGCATGCGGAAATGAAAAAGTCGTTGATGAGGATTTCATGTTTACATATGCGCCTGTCATGGAAATGATCACTGCCAACGTGATATTGGCAATGGCACAACACTGGAAGGTACCAGCTAGACACGAAGATGTGCCTTATGCTAACGTTAAAGCATTCTCTGAAGAGAAATTCCCCATTTATATTAAGATTCCATAAGGAATGGAGATACGGGATCAAGTATTGAAGGAGTTGGGTGTGAATTCTGTAAATGAAGTCGTATTGTTACTACTTCAAAGCTTTTACGGCTTGTAACAAGCTGGTAGATTATGGAATCCGTTACTTAATACAAAATTGATCGATTTGGGATCGAAGCAATCGATTGTTAGACCATGGTTATTCTATAAAAAGGATGATCGTGGAATATTACACGGTGGAATATACGTGGATGATTTATTGGTCACTGGGACCAATGGCGACTTAGTGAACGATCTGTTCGCTTCACTGAAAAGCTTACAAATCAAGGATTTGAAAGAAATTAACAAGTTCTTGGGAATGAGAATCATCAAACACGAAGAAAATTATTTTCTTGATCAAGAAAACCTTATTGATGACCTTGTAAACCAATATGGAATGAATGACGCAAAAAATGACAAGAATTTTGATTGGTTCTGGACATTTATATGGCGAATCCAGCCCTAAATTCAACGATTCAAGGAATTTCAGGTCACTAGCGGGGAGTTTGTTGTGGATTTCGCGTTGCACGCGTCCAGACTTCTCGTTTGACGTTCATAAGATAACGAGAAGAACCCATGATCCAAGGGAACAAGACTTACAGTTTGGTAAAAGAATTCTACGATATTTAAAGGGAACAAAATGTTTGAAGTTGAAGATGAGAAATCGAGAGCGAACTGAGGACTTACCTGATGTTTTTTCAGCGGCTACAGCGATGCAGACTTTGCTGCGGACACTGAGGACCGCAAATCCATGATTGGAGGAGTGATATTTGCAGGAGGGTGTAATGTCGGATGGATATGTCGAAAACATGCATCAGTGTCGTAATAAACGACAGAGTCTGAATTCATAGCGGCATCGGTCGTAGTAACCGAATTGCATGGACTTTACAATATCTTGGATGAAGTTGGCATTCAAGGGATCCATAACAGGTTACTCTTTGTCGATAACCAAGCAGCTATAGTGCAATGGAAAGGAGAAAACTCGACAACTAAACTCAAGCATGTCGAAATACGCTATAAATATGTACAAGAACGTATCAGAAAACGAATGTTGGAGGTGAAATACGTACAGAATGAAGAAATGAAAGCCGATTTGATGACAAAGACTTTGTCGGCGACTAAACTTGGAGATCTCCGCGTGCTTTGTGGTCTCGTGCACGATGTACAGCACACCGAGGGAGGAGTGTTAGAGACAAGTTAAGTCTCCACCTAAGTAAACCAGGAGAAGTTATGAACCTCCCAACCATTTGCATAACTACAGGGCTACAAGCAGAATACATTCACTTGGAAACTCACCTTCATACCACCAGGTCCTTCCTTCCTATCTGTCATTTACAGCACTTTGCGCAGAAGTAGCGTATCGAGCCACCGATTTAGTTCAACAGCCCAGAGCTTGGGCTCATGGGGAACTTTCAGGAGTGGAGCCGAGAGCCTCTTGCCGTAACTAAGCGTCAATTTGATCTATCATACCAAGAGTAAATACAAATTAGGACTCATGCTACACAGTCAATTACCGAATATTACCAGCTTACTATCTCTTGCAATAAAAATGTCTTTATTTGGATTCTGACGTACGACTATCAGTGCACTTATGTCGTGAAACCCTCCAATTTTCAACATTATAGTTACTATCACTATCGAAAGTTCGGACTCAGAATATTCACAAATTCAAGAGCGTGCAATTTGAGCATTTTTGCAATCGTATCTTTTGTATTATATGCAATCGAAATGAATGTGTTAGGAGTAGTAATAGTGCCTACCCCGTAAATCTGCTTTGGCTCTTTTCCCAACATTTGGCACAGTACTCATGAGTGAACTCAATTATATTAAAGCCTAAATTAATTTTTAGTGCTAAAGTAAATGTTATAACTTAACGGCTAGGTATTGTAAAACTATTAGGAACCATACTAATTTTTCGGAAACGTTGTGCCTTGTGGTTCAAAAGCGCTCACAGGGCTTCGTTTCGCGTTGTTCTTGTTCAAACACTCGTTTTCGCACCGTGTAAGCTAAAGGCACTATAAATAGGCTTGTAAGGTTATTGCTAATGCGCAGTGAGCAGCATCATATAAGTTTGATCAAAACTACGACGTGATTGAGTCTACAGTTGCAGACGGGGCATTTTAGCTTATTGATTGCGAAATGGATATCATTGTGAGTTCAGCGGTGGATGTCGTAACACTTTCTCACGAAAAAAACGGGCGCGCAGAGCGTCGCTCGTGAAGAGTAAAGGCGGAGCATAGAAAATCTCCTCCTGAGGACAGCGATGACGGGTCAGCAAAAGCGGATTGAGATGCCTGATAAAGACAAAAGAAAATATGAGAGCACATGTGGCCCACATCTTGCTGGGGGTGTATTTTGAGATACTTTGTAATATTTTGTACGTACACCTTACGCTTTGGTATAATTGAACAATAACAATGTTGTAGAATTATATTCAAAGCTATTGCAATTTTGACCGAAGGTTCAAAGATATAGAAATTTTTTAAGAGAATGTGTTTTCGAATTTAGTACAGGCACATAGGGAGTATTACTTTCAGCAAAATTAATCTTGAATATTTCACTCGCGAAATATTATAGCAAACGTAGTACTTTGTTTCTTTAGGGACTTTTTGCTCCAGGGCGTACGAGTCCAACCTTGGTGAGCTGAAAGGTGGACTCCTTGAGTCAAAATTTTTGCACCGCAGGCCCCGTTGCACATTTATTGAATAATTTGCTTTCCTCTGAGAATATATTAATCCCAATCAGAATTTTGCAAAAAGTTGACTGTTCCGTTGCGCATATCTATTTTGCATACTCAGATTATTAGACACCGGAAAATGGTAAAAATAGCAAAAAATAATGTAATTATAAGACTACAAACATTACGGTTGTAAGGACGCAGAAGACGTGATCGACGATGATTGAATATCAGACTACACATGATGTTTGAGTTCTTACCGTTAAAATAAGTTTTGCTGTCGTAAAGCTTTAACCAGTAGGGTCAATAAGGACAAAGGCAAAACTAATTTTGCGGATAGATCTGTGACGCATTTAGTCAAAAATTTCTCCCGGCATGCGGCACAGCAACCCCTACCACGTGTACGTACAACCCTCACAGAGGCTACTGTGTATATAAAGGATGCAGAGATCCGAAATAGATCTCTCAGCACCAAAGGATTTATAAAAAATGAGTTTATAATGCCAATAAATAAGCAGTGAATGTAGCAAACCCCGTTTGCATTCACTTTGTAACAATTAATTGTCCAATCACGCCGTTTGTTGCCTTTAAAAGTTGCTTTTGTGGACGAATGGCTGAAAACGGAGCCCAAACTTAAATCTTCGATCTTTCTATAAAGAAGAGCCAGTGTGGCTATCACATTTGCACAACTTTGCGCGCTGATCCTCAGCTGGGTGGTAGCAGCCATCATTATACCTCTCACTGTACATATAGCAGAATCTTTGTGTCGCGTACACTTTTTCAAAAGTATGTGCATCACTGGCTTTAACATAATCATTAGCGGCAGCACTTAAACCTATTGCATTGACACTTGAGAAATCCGGCAGCAGAACTAAGCTTTTCCTACATCAATGCTAATAGCGCTTCCTTCCGGTCATCCCATGGCCATCTGCACTGTGATATTCATCTCAGCCTTATCGATGAGATCTAGATGGCTGCAGACTATCGTGTCGCATATGTTGGAATTCTCACCCACGCCATTGCTTTGCTCCGCGTTGACCTCCTTTTTGTCACGAAATTCTCGTATCGATATTAAATATAATCTGTATGCGTATTTCGAGCGGCGCGCACTCTTTCACTATCTTTATTGACCTCTCTGTATATATGCAATTCGAGACGAGATATCAGTTGTTACTGAACTATATCTGCCCCTGCATCGCCCTGAATCTTGCTGGACATAACATAACAACGTCAGAGATGTCGCCGCTACATGAAGCGTGAATAGTGTTCACAGATTGAAAGCATGCCATTTCGAGCATAGCAGCAATACCTGTTTTTGTGTTATCACCAAAGTTATTGTTTTGTTAGATAATACGAAGCTTGAGCGACACTTCATCGGTATTTCAGCTCGGCTTAATACGTCAATTATAATCAGTGCTCACAGATGCTGAATAATACGTCAATTATGATCAGTGCTCACAGATCGATACCTTTGTACATTGTATTGGAGTCCGAGTTGAAAGGATGTTACAAGCTCTACATTATACAAAAGCACAGCTGAAACCTCACTGACATAGGAATGAATAATTAGTTCCGCACTGATCGCTGTCTCGATAGCTTACCTTTAGATCGATCGCAAGACATTTGCAAGGACACAAAAAGAACATGCATGCACGACAGTGTTCATTGTGATCGCCAAGTCTCACTCATTGATGAGGAGGAGCTTACTAAATGCGAGGACCTGACTACTTGTTCTTATCGTTTAAATATTAGTTTGGCTCAGATGATTTTTATTGGCCTTCAGCTTCATATCGGTCATCTGGTTTAGCAGTATCGGGTGGTCAAAACCACGTAGAGATTCTGCCTGTGGTACGCCTGCATTCTTCGAGATGCTGACGAGTACTTAGGTCGAGAATGCAGCTGTTGCAAAAATAAAATATCCTGAAGTGCTTCCTAGAATCAACGAGAGAATATAATGAGAGTCAAGATGCACAATTGGGACTATATTATCCATTATCATTGCCTATGGTAGCGCACGCGCCACTGAGCCCTTATGCGATGCTTAAGTTCTTGCTTTTTTTTTTGTATGATCGATAAATTTGAGATTATGTATCTGTTTGAAGAGATCACCCGCGAGCTCCTGTTCCGAATCGTGTTTGGAATTTATCCACGGCAATACGACTTTAGTCATATCGTAATGTCTATTCTGCAGATCGTACAAGTTAAGAAGCGCGGCATCAAAACGTTGGCGAGTTGCAAGAGTGTCTGCCCGGTTTTCATCACCACGGAGATGTGGAAGCAATTGGGGTAATTGAAGACGTTCCAGTAACACCTCGATCATCAGCTTATCGCGTATCTGTTCGTCTCCTTCGTAATTACTGGCGGCAAAATGGTCCCAATCCAGAAATTCTTGACTTCCGAAAAAGTTCGCTGTCTTCTCTGCGTCCTTTGGTAACCCGTTTTCTAAAGTAGGCTTAAACTTTAACCTCATCACCCACAGATTTTGCGGAAAGAGGTTTCCAAGCCATGATGTAGCAATCGATCTTACTATATCTTGAATCGCAGCTGGACTTGGCCCAACCCTCTCTTCGGTAAAATGACGGAGTTTTTTACTTGATGGTTGCGAGCTGTGCGTATTACCGTATCGAATAACAGAGGATGCTACTGCGGCTGTATTTATCACGGTAAGTCCAGAACACAATAGCACCACCACGCTATACAAACGAAATAAATTGCAGACACTCGTCGTATAATTCGCCTTGGCCACCATTGATCGCGATGATGAATTCAACAATGATCCTAAGAAAAAAGCTATAAGCTTTACTCCGACTCTCATCGACATAGGGTTTGTGGCAGTATACGGACGGAACATGAGCGATCCATTTTTCCTGTAAAAGGTATACAAAAAAATTCTTTAGGCTGATATTTAATGATTTAAGAAAGCCAAATGATTGCACTATAGATCTGATTACGGAACATGAACAGTACAAAATTACAGAAAACTATAATCTGATGAAAAGTGATCCTAAATCTGTTTCTGGAACAATAGGACAATGGCAAAGATAGGAGCTGGCGTGAGACTTTCCATAAAATCTTGCAAGCTGTATTTTCTACACACTCCACACTTCTCTGGTTAAGCATTGGTGTTTTTGAGCAAATCACGAACTGAGTACCCAAATAACAGATGATTTTTCTCGGGTGATAAGTACGAAGGGTCTCAGATGTGGCAGCACGCCAGCTTTCTCCGAGCGTGTCAGCGTGAATTGTATACTAAGATGAACCAGATCTTGAGGTTGTTAGCCATCACACTGAGGCACCCGACTCAGGATTACGTCGCTGCTTTGGAGGAGAGTTTAGCTCAGCTACAGAAATGGTGGAGACGCAGCTCTGTCTGCAACAGAGCTCTTAATACGCAGCTAGCTTATTGACATAAGATCAGAATATGGCTTCAGTAAATTTAAGCAGAACACGGGATTGTTCGAACTATCATTGTCATGCTAGGAATAAAAATCATTTTCTTGTCGGCATTACCGGAACGTATGATACAAGTCGGGATGTCCAGTAGCGACACGCCGATGCCAGAAGTATACATCTATACACGAATATGTTGCGGGGCAGAAGATTTCGCTGAATGAAGCAAATATACTTACACAGGCAGTGTCTGCGCTATATAAGACTAAGTTAAGATCACGGCATTGCGAACTTGGCGCATGACAATCAACCTCATTACTGAACACCACTGATTTTTCTACGAAGCGTAGCTTAATTGATGTTAGCATGTTGAGTATGATCAATCGACCTCCTCGAACATAACCGAGGTGTCTTTATGGTGCGGTTAAGGGAATCATAAATTAATTAAGTCATTGACGCTTGATGGGTAAACCCTGAAAAGCATGTACTGCGTTAATCAACTCAAACTCAATGAGTCAATTCAACACCGCGGTCACTCCGCGCAAGTACATATTCTAATCTCGCAATTACATACACTCCGTCAAACTCCACATCTGACTACCCATGTTCTGCACAACTATAGACGAATATACTGTCGAAATCGGTTTTCGCATAGCAATCTTGTGGCCTGGTCAGCTGGGGTATCAGATGATTGAGCGTCGCCGTTGCGTCAGACAGTTTCGATGCATAATTAGTCACCCGCAGAGCATAGCGCATACTACTCGAAGCTTCAAACGCATGGCGAGGGGTATTACTATTTTAATGTAACGGGACAGCTGGTTCCACGCACTACTGCGCTGATGTGACGTTACTTTGAGGCTTAGTCTTCTCGCGTAGCTGTCGTACGCGTCTCTTTAAACACAACTTTGAGTGGATCTCTTAATCAAATAAAGATTAAATACATTATAAGTGGTTTTATACTAATCCTAATCTTAACCTACATTCGGAAAAATGTACCTAATTGTTCCCTACTAATGAGTGTGTTGGACGTTAAGTTGACCAGTAACTAAGTGTGTACCACAAAACTGTGTAACGGACCTACCACCCCATCACACAACCCTTCACCAAAAATGGGACATACACATGTGTCAAAATAGGTTGTTTTGGAGAAAATACTCGTACCACTTGAGGCTAAAAGCGGAGCGAGAATGTCGGAAATGATATTATGTGAGACGCCGGCCCGAGAGGCATCTGTTCGGAATAAACGCAGAACAGCTCCTCTCGAGCCTGGCGACAGCGACAGCGACACGCCTGTCGCAGAGATGCGAACACGCCAGACTGTCAAGCTCGAAAAACTTGACAAGGAGCAATGTCAGCGTCAAGCGGAGTCGCCAACACAACAAATGAAACCGGAAACGAAGGCGCCTTCAAAGTCGGACAGCGACGAAGACGACAGCAGCTCTATTTGATTTTCTCCATGGGTTGGAGAGCTGAAACAGCCCGCTACAATTCCAAATATCGAGTCGAGCGACGACCACATATCGGCGGACTCCCATAAAAAGAAATAGTTTTCTCCACCTCGCGTTGCCAAAGCAAAAGACTCCCAAAACTCAGTGACTGCGCCCACACCTCCATTTGTGCGCAAACGGTGACGACGCCAGCAGCCGGTATCATACGCGAATAATACTCTTTGCAATTGCTGCCGAATGACGACGTGTGGCACATTCCACACCTTTCAAAGTCCAGCACTGGTATGGGATTGAACTCAAGTAACCTAAAGGGTCCCCTGTATCAAATCAGGCAACTCCATCCGGAACGTTATTGCGACGCACGCAATCCGTACTATAATGTTTGTGGAGTACCATGGGCGCAAATGGTTAGCGGTGTCGCCCAAAGACATCGACAGAGTATTCTCGGAGTGTGTACACGTCACCGAGTCGATTGCAATTGAAAACCATCGCAAACCGGACAGATTTTTTTGTCGTTATCAGGCGACCGCCAAGGTGCGCGATATGCGTTTGTGATACGCGAAACTCGTATGTGAGGAACAGGTCGAAGCAGATTATGTTGCATGTCGTTGAGACTTGTTGGGGGTATCCACCACCTGCTCTTCACTGCATTCGTCGTCGTCTTCCATGTCTGGAGCCCAAGCGATAGGACGAGTTTTTTCTTTCGTTTCGGCTCCTAGTGAAGCCAGTGGGGGTTCGCAACTGCCCACTTACGGACTGTGTCATGGCAATCAACAAGGAATTACGAATGTGGCTCCCACAAGCTATTCGAATCCGGATGGCCGAGCCATTTCACAAGGAGCTGTAGCTCACCACGGGGTCGGTGTGCCAACGCAATCTTTTTCACATGGAAGTAGGCAACCCCGTCTCGGTTTACCGCCGGCAACGGAATCTTCGGTGGCCAAACTCGACAGCGGTGTCGTTGATGGCGTTTTCATCGATGCCACACCTGCAGATGAGGGACGCAACGATGTGTCTGGACAAAGTTGTAGCATCGTCGAGAATCGATCCTGAAAACTGGTCATCAAGGGAAACGGAATCTTGTGGGCTGCCATATGGAAGTGAACGTTCACACAGCAAAATCTGCTCTGTGGACGTGTGCCACTCGGCTCCAAGCGGAGTATTAATGTCTTCGTGACGAAGTTCAATAACTTTAGAATGCTGTGACACAGAGTGATTCGACTCTATAGTTTAAACGACGCGCTCGTCCTCATTCACGATCTCCGTCACCGGACTACGATCAATTTCGTTCGTACACTCCGTACGGTGACAGAAATTGTTAAGGTATGACTTGAGCAAGCGGACATAAAACATTGGATGGATACGGATCCAGTTTGGTAAGTGCACTTTCCGGCACATTTTAAGGCCTTGAAGGGTCCGATGTCTCGGGAAAGGAGCTTAAAAGATCCCAGACAAGAGACGGCAGCGTACTAACTTATTATCACCTTCTAAATCATCGTCGAGGGAGTATCGATGAGTTCAATAGCGAACTCGCAGGGATAATGTTGATAAGACTGAACCATTTGTGGTTGTCAACAACTTATGGATACAGCACAAGCTGGGTCGTTCGGATACGCTTGAAGTATCATGTCGATTACGCTGGAAGTAGCTTGCAAAACCACGGATAATTCGTAATCGGGATAGAGAGATAAGCCATCCGCCACGACATTCAATTTGGCTTATAAGCCACTATAAAGTTGTATTTTGCAAAGAATGCTAACCAACGAGCCATCCGCTGTGACAAATGAGGCGTTTGAGTCGCGGTACGCAGCGATGCGTGGTCGGTATAATCGACGAATGGCTTGAATCCCAAGAGGTGAGCTCTATACTTTACTTAAGCATACTTCATTGCCAACCATTTATAATCGTGAAGGAGTAATTCCGTTCAGCTGGCTTCAGCTGCTACGACTGATACAAGATGACACGCTCCTGTCCATTAGCATCTTGCTGCAGCAATGCACATCCGATGACAAAGTTGGAGGCGTCGCACACGACACTGTATGGTAAATCGTTATTTGGTAATGCCAAAATAGGCGCTGCCTGCAAGCTATGTTTGATATCGCCGAAGGCAACATCACAATCATTTGTCCATAACTTTTCTACAAATTTCTTCAACAAGTCTGACACCTGGTGTGCCATATCAGCAAAATATTGGTATAACGATGGTGGTAGCTAACCAAACCCAACCATTTCCTCAGATCCTTCTAGTTAGATGGCGTCAGACAATCTGAGGTTGCGTTGATCTTCGCTGAGTCCGCCCGAACACCGTCGACGCCGACAAAACAGCCCAAACCTGATACCCGAATATTCACCCAATGTCGACAAAGTGTTTATGTCGTCATACACGCCAATATCTATCCTAGGTGTTTGGAATGAATTCGATCGGTAGATCGGCCTGTTTCGGGTTTTGAATGGACAAAATATGTAAATATACGTCAGCGTGAACGATCACAATGGACGGAATTAATGCGTGACAAAACGGTTTGATATCGCTGGTGCATCGGAGAGTCTTTCTGGCATCACAAAAAGCTACCGCTTGTTGTGCTTACCGGAAGTGATGGAAGGTTCATTAAAATTTGATAGTGGCCAACTACTGGATTTAGTACGCTGAAGCGTTTTGAGCTAATGGAAAAAGGCGTTCGTGCTGGGACAGTTTTGGCGTTCTAGTTGCTGTATACGTGTACAATGCGCCACTTGCGATTAGGTTAGCGAACGCGAAACATTGCCTCAATGTGGAGAGATTTACTCTTTTTTACCCACCCGCGTTGCTGTTTGGTAGCAGAGAAAGAGTCTATAATCTGGGATTGCTTGGCTAGCATCGGTCATTGACGCGATAGTAGAAATCCTGCACCTAGTTCAATCTCGATCTCGTGTCGTATATCACGATTTGGCGAGAGGACACGTGGGAGTTCCGGACTCAAACACGTTACCGTACAAGAACGAAATAAAAATCGCGCGGATTTTTGAGAATGATTGGCCCGTGTCGGGATTCAAATCGCTGTCGAAGATCTCCGACGACACTGGGATCTAGGACAGAAGACGTCTTACCCTCTTCTGTTGCTGCACTTGCACGACGAATCATAACGATTTTGGTCAGCGCACCATTCTTAAGGTATTTAAGAAACTTGGGGGGGCTAGTTCTCCCAGGCTCGTGAGAGCAGATATTACTGGCAGTGGGGCCTTATAAGCCTGGACGGGTAATCCTTTAACTGCGTTCAATACTAAATGTTGCGCTTCCGCAGTGGTATAAACGACTGGAGCATTAGCTTCCACAGTAAAATCAACTACGGAGCAATGATATCCACGGTAGAAATGCCTGTGGAAGCATTCAGCTTGTAGTAGTTTTATCTACTGGAGCTTTAGCTACTACAATAGCTCGTACTATCGGATCATGACGTGGTCTCCACTAACGTTAGCTACTGGAGACTCAATCTCCACAATTGTGCTCTTTACTGGAGTGTATAGGGCTTTTTCAATAGCGTTAGCCGTTGGAGCTGTTGCTTTCACAGTAGAATCGGCTACTGGAGCATAGTGAATTATCACAATAGATTTTACTATCGCAGCAAGAGCTTCCACAGTGGTTTTGTTACTCGAGCGTAATAATCTTCTATTTTTATGGATTTAATCGTCGAAGCGACACCTTTCACATTAGCATTAACGCATGGAGCAATAACTCGTTTTGACACAATTGGCTTCGCAAACCACACCCGCTTGGTGATTGTACCTTCACAACAATGCGGCAAACGCCATCATAGTGAGCGCTATCTTTGATTGCGGAGTTGTTACGCTGGTGGATAGTCACAGACGGCTCATGACGTTTCGTAGGTGTGATTTCTACCCGGCGAGCTGACTGGTTCTCTAGGCGATTATTGGCTCGTCGTCTTCTATTCACGCATAGTATGAGAGCATACCGATCTCTATGTCGACAACGGAGAATGTCAATTCAAGTCAAACCCCAACGGTTTGACTCGTCAATCGATTCGATAATCTGTTGCATAACAATTGAACTCATCGCAAGACGGACATGAGTTTTACCATTCGTTTTCGCACATACTGCATCGAAATGGAGAGGATTCTCCGTCCAGAGTAAAATGTTGACACCTTAGAGCCAATAAGGACTCTGGAGGATACACTGAAAACCCTTCACCGTTGCCATAACAACGAGAAGCTTCCCTTTCTCTCCACTTTTCTGGGAAATCGAAACCTCCCAGGGGCCAGCGCTTCCCCTGGACAACATAAGCGTAAAATGTAGTCGCTAATATCACCCCAATAGGCCGTCCCCATCTTCTAGACCTGCGCGTTTCCAACGACAGGGGAAGCACAATACAACATCGACGTTGTTGAGGGATGAGACTCCTCCACCGCTCCGGGAAGTGGCCGAACGGTCGCCGCGTCGGCTGGCACCACGCCACCCTCCTCGACTAATACTCTAGTGGCTTTGGACCCATAAATCTTCATCGAGAAACTCTGTCGGAAGTGGCCCACTCGACACAACCATAACAAATTACGTGTAGGTGGGCAATTGCGAACAGGTCCATGGATTCAGGACGACCACTTGACGGTGGCTTCACGTTGGCGGGACCAGTGGGTGATTAACACGCCTGTCGCTGGAGCTGACCCTTCTGAAGGGCGACGAAGTTTGCAGTTTCAAGCTTGGTCTGATATCGACGAAAGACTTCGGTCTTTTTAAAGCCGATCTCGAGTCACTCTATATAGACGGTTATAATCACAAGTTCCAGAATTGTATTGTCGGTTAGCGACGCTCGCAACTTGCAAAGTTCTTGTACGAAGTCGTAGATGGTGCGGTTGCTCTAGCGACAGCTTGAAAACATCCTGCTATGTTTAGATGCCGCATTCGGCGGAAGAAGCATCGATTCTGGGGAGATTTTCAAAACAAAAAATAACCAAGATGGTTGATCTACCTCGTGTAAGTCCTTTCATGGGCAGCATTTTGCGTATGCAAAACCGCTAATGCGACCTTTTGCTGTTCCTCGTGAACCAGGTTGCTGCCATTGCTATATCCACTTGGCGGTACAAAAGTGGGGGTTTTCTCCTTTCTTTCCAAATAAAGGCTTGATCGCGATCTCTAGCGGTTTTGAGTCGACTTCGCTTCGCGGGGATGGTGGGACCTTCACTCGGACAACCGGATCGGGAGAATCGGGAGAGATAGGGCGTCGAGACATGTTCGACAAGGTGGGCTTCATAAACTATGAGAGGTTGGACGTGCCCCTTGACCACATCTTGATCGTGACGTAACAATTGGGTGATGGCTTTTACTCTAAGGGTTCGATAAATCTCGCCGAAGACGGCCCATTCCGCATCGGACAGATGCGGACAATTGGATTAATCCAACGGTAACGGCTGAGCTGAGAGTTAATCTGATATTTGAAATCGGACATCATCAATTCCGGCGGTGTATTGCTACCAGCTGTAACTGGACTGCTCGTTAAACGCACTCTTGCGCTGAGGTAGCATTATCTTGAGGTTTGGTCTACTCACGTAGCTGTCGTTCGCACCCCCTTAACTACAACCGTGTGTGGATATCTTGATCAGATGAAGACTCAATATATTATAGGTGGTTTTATCTTGATCCAAATTTCAACCTAAATCCGGAAAGATGTACATAATCGTAACCTTTTAATAATCAGCGTAGCGCAGACTTAGTTAGTCAGTATCAAAGTGTGTACCGCGCAAACTGTGTAATGAGCCTACCACCCCATTACATTCACCGAAGCACTTATTAAAAAGCCGTCATTTAATCATGTTGTTCTGCATCAAAAATTTTCTAGTCATAAGTGTTTTGTGTCGAAATCGTCGCTACTTTGCATTTGCTATAGGCATGCACTATTAGCACTATTATTTAGATCCCAAGGATGTTTCCTTGATTGAGACTATTGCCGTGTGACTCAAAATTCGTTTCTGAGAATCAAATCAGCATTAGAAAGCAGTACTTAATCCGAAACATCACGTATGGTAGGTATTGTCATCACATCATGATATTACTTAAAAAATATGATTTGTATCCTTAGGTCACTAAAGAATAACTTCCTTCTCAGCCAGTGCGTTGCACTTGACACATGACAGACGTCAGTAGTGGAGGAAGACTTTACGTCCTCCTTGAGTACTAATCTTACTCTTTTGGAGACATGATTATCTGTCAGTTCCTTGGATGCATATCTTATCAATGACTACGCAAGCTAAACAAAAGTTTTTGCCGGAGGTATTTAGAGAGTAATACATCTTCTTGAACTACTTCTGTCACTACGCCAACAAAGGATAACCTTCACACCACTTCCCATGTATCTCTATAGTGACACGATGAGCGGTGCTCCCGTCTCAGCAGCGCAAATGTAGCGTGACAAACGTGGGCTGACCATTTTAATTTCAGCTTCAATCCACTTTCTTGCGACTTCCAGTTTCTTGTCAACTGCATCAACTCCGGTACCAACTTCCAGCGTTTCTTTGAATAGAAACACCAGAAGCCATGATAGACAGACGGCCCTACCTTCTAACAGACTGTAACGCAGAAGACCGACATGCGAACGCTATTTCTACGTTTCATCCTGGTACTACCGCTTTTGCCCTCCAAGCTTGACTTGAGTCAAGAACGCTTCTGCTTCCGGATAGAGGTGGATTTCTGGCTTGTTAATGTTGAATCATGATAGGAGTTTACAGCCTCTAATATTTTCGACTTCCAGTCCATCCGAAGCTCGTGGCGTTAAAGCCATTTCTGAGATCAGATCAATTTATAAAATAAGGCCCAGGACAACATAAACTTCCAGCTTTGCACGGATATTCTCGATATAGGTCCGGGTCAAGACAGATGTTCACGTGTAAGAGGTTATCCGACAAACCAAACACGACACGCACACTCGCGCTAGAAAGGATAAGTAGATCAGAATGCGGATAATCGCAACTGGATGGAAAAGCAATTATGGTTCTGAAACTACATGAATAACATCACTAAAGGCTCAAAAGGTTATTTATGCAAAACCTACATATGCTGAAGTAAAACCTATGAATTTGATATCATACCCCTGGGTAAACTGTGTTCGAGCCAAGGGAAGCTTAAGAATCTTGAGCTTGAAGTCCTTGTGAGAAGTTCTTTGCAAGGTGACTGGATCGCGCTACTTACTTTAAATGGTAAAGACACGTCGGTCATATCACCAGCTCGGGAAGATATAATAGTGTCTACGGTTATGACTCACTGTTAGTGAGCCCAACGCGACACGCGACCGTGATCATCACTCGCAACGGAAAGTGATATCAAGGATTATGCTCCACACTTCTATTCGTGAGTGTTTTCAAGACTAGACTTGTGCGCATAAGGCCAAAGTTAGCGGAGGACATTCGCAGTAATGTCATAAATGCTTTGGGGATCTGTCGCACTATTATCCCTTTGTTATTTTTCACGTCGACGTGATGTGTACAAGAAGGACCCGCCTTCCAGTAATAGCTAGGTATAGCCGTTGCACCACGCTGTCAGAGTCCTCAAGCTTCGCGTAAGACGTAAAGACGAGATATAACCTTCAACATCTTTACCGGTGTCCCCATCGCAGATGCACGAATCTCAAATCCGTATTTCGTGTTTACATATCTTCGTGCGCTGTCTATATCTTCAATAGTTTGGTGTCTTACATAAATGTACTTTCCACGGCCTCACAAATCCTCGAATGTTGATATCAACAACCACCAAATTTGTGCTATTTGCAACTCCTTTTTTATGAGTCGCTCCGTCTTAGTGACAATAACCTTCACAAGGTACAGTTAAACCTAGATCATTCCTAGACTACTGGGTTTGACGTTCCTTGGGCGAACCTTAGAGCCAACCGCAGGAGAATCAATTTTTGCCGGCATTGTCGATGAGCAAAGGTCACTTTAATCATTTGGTGGGCTGGCGGGTACACTAGGTTCTGACCAGCATGTGGTGAAATGGAAAGAATACCCGCATTGAGAGAAGTCATGGGTGCATATGGCTCGTCATCAGGACACTCTGGTGCCAAGCCGCTTTCGACTTTGCACACTATAGATCGTTATCTTCTTTGAAGAATAGTCAGGGTCGCCAGTCGCAGCGCGCTTCCAATTGATGAATGAAGACCGATGATCAACCTATAGTCGGTAGCTGTAACAGCTGTCTCATGTTGTCGAGCAAGACTGCTAAAAGCTAAATCACTCTAACTAGATGAGGTGAATGTTCGGCTCTTTGTTCGCGTCGTACTATGTACTCCGCAAAGTCAAGCTCTAAACGACGCTGTAGTCGGAAGTCTGCTTCACTGAAGCTGGCACACAGGAGCATATATCATAGAGGGTACGAGTTTCCCAAATCTGCTGCCTTAAACGTAGGCGTTACGTTTGAGAGATATTAGACCCGTAGGGTCGAAAGTGCTCGAAAAGGCCCATAGACATAGGCGTGTCAGGGATTCACCAAAGCGTGATGGCTTGAAGTATTAGTCACCTTTGGCAGGTGTAGATCTAAGTCTCGCTCTGTCGATAAGCAAGCTTGGCTCTTGATCCAGCTACAGCAAATTGATGATACGTCGAACATCGGCAGAAACCCCAGGGTGGTTTGTAGCGATATTAGCCGCCAGTACCCGATATTTGAGTAAGGCACGGCAATCGTAAGTCGTACAGAGGCAGGTGGATCCAGGCAAGCACTTTAAACTTGGTGAACATATCAGCTGTAAGTTTGTACGTGGAGGTGAAACTATTGGGTCAAGCCTCGGAGAGTAGCTGCGATTAAATTCACTGAAAAAAATAGTGGCAACATTTAAAAACTTTGTTCGCGATGTCGGCGCATTTCTCAAGGCTCACTGATCCACACGCTGAGAAAAAGTAGACTTTTCGTGGAAGGAAATGAATTGACCTTTGGAAGGTAATAGCGCGTAAAATGGCCACAAATCTTTTCAAAGTCTTCTGTTCCCAAAAAGATCTAAATTCCTACAAGAGGCGATTCAATTACGCAAGGCAATGAGCAAATTCGCTGTCAATTTACAAATAAGCGAGCGCGCGTCAGTATGTTTTTGCTTCCACCGCAATAAAGGTGTCCCACCTCAAAATTCCAACGTAATGACGGATTGAACCTGACGACCCTGCTTGAATAGAGTCGGGTTACGGTAGACATTAGGATTAAGTTTCTTATTTATCGTCTCACAAGTTTCAATATATGTGGATGTTATAACGACCAATATGCGTAGCCCGATGGCTATAACAGACAGTGACTAAATTGGTGCATACACAACTATACTTATTCGATGCACCTCATCACACCTTATATATGATGTAGGTGAAAATAATATCTATATATGTGGAAGCGCTGGGTTTAATAGCTGGGTCTGTAACACAAGATAGCGCCGAGTCTTTAGACATATCTGCCTTTTTATTCACGATAATCAGCTATCTCAAGGAAGATGAGTATTTTTTAAACTGGGCGCATCTTTTGCTGCTATACAACACTGAACAAAGATCGCAGCTTGTGATCTATTGTCAACTCATTTAGTCATACCACGACGCAAATTATGGAATCAAAATATTGGGTGGCGTGTGGTGGCCGTGCTTCCGTCACTAACTCATGAGGCTTAAGGCGATCTTGTACATAACAAATATACCTCGTCTGACACTAAGATAACAAATACGGAGATATACCCGGATCCATGCGCTGGTTTATTTGACAGCAAGACATATTTAACTCTGCAGCTGAGCGAATCACCGGGAGACCCAGTTCTACTTAGCGATGGGGTACAGCAGGACAATCTACTTTCTCTGAGAAGGGTTGTGTTATTTTTGGTGCTTATTTAATCTTACAATCCCGAGTGTCGATTTGCAGGCTTGATCGATGATGATGACAACGATGAATTATCCCCTAACTTGCAGCTAACGTTTGCTAGGCTTGTACCGAACTGCCGATCGCTGTGAACGTGTTGGACGTTAAACAAATTTTGCTATAGCTTCAGAATTATGACTGAACATGAATGAGATATACACCATGCCGCTTACACACAAGAACAACCAGTCCAAATTTCAACGTGTTACAGCTGTCAGCCAATGTGGTACTATCAGGAGTTCTTCAAAGTGCGACTGTGACACGTGAGCAATGATGTAGCGCTGTGGTAGGTATACCACAAACAAGCTGTATTATCTGGAAGTATTGTGTTTATACGTTGTGTAGCAAGGTGGTACTCGTACAAAGCATTTCTCCACTTTAATTGAGAGTAACGTCATTTAATCCAGCTTTCGAAAAATTGTTGCCATATCTAGGCTTTTTGTTGCTCGAAGATTGTGGATTTATACAGGTATCACGAATCATAGAGTAGGATTCGCATCCTTCATGGTATCCATCGAGGCTAAGCATCCCATCGCGTAAAATTTAGTATTCCTCGAATTGTAGCTGAATGCGATTCCCCGGTGGTTTGCTCTGGCAATTAAACATTTTACCAGATTTTGAGAACCCCCGGTACTGACTCTGACAATATTTATGCAGGTATGAACGGAACGCAAATCAATGAACAATGCAAAGCTTTTCATCGCACTTGAGCGGGTTGAACACATCCATTTTTTGCATACGTTAAGTCGCTTTTACGGTGGCTCCACCAACATGCAAACTTTGTAAGGCATACAGAAATAGATACAGCTGGCGAATAAAGATAGGGGTCTTTTAGTGTAGTTTAATGCATTGGTGGCATCGTATTTAACATCTTCAGCCGTTGCTTACACCCTCGCGATAACAGCGTATTACACATGAGATAAAAATATCCGGTTCTTATCCATCGTACAAGATTTACAGTAAATAGTGGCGTCCACGACAAGATCAACAGCTACAAAAATTGAGCTTTCCGCCCCGTGCTATCGGGTTGACATTTAGTACCGTTCCAGCGAAGGCAGACAAAAGCCCGATGTATAATAGATAGAAGGATGACCAAACTCGGATTGAAGGTCGATGATAAAAATCATGGACGCCTCCACATATTCACTGGCCGAGCTATTGACTGGCTTCAATTGGATTTCTTTGAATCGTATAACAATTCAATTCTTAGCCGACTAAAAAAACTAGCGACAATTTCTCCGGCCAACTCGAATAGGCTGAACCGGTCATAATTTTCATGTTGGGCTCGGGAATAATGCAGTGCAAGTCCGCAGTCAGGAACGTGCCTTAGATTTGTGATCATCATTGACTTCTAATTTCATCATGTGAAACTTGTCTGCTAGTCCGTTGGAAAAGGTCGACTGTCCCGCTTTATACATTTTTAAGGCGTCCTCCACCCGGAGCTCGGCGAACCCTCTTCACATCTTGACACGATTTAAGACAACTAAGAACTCGGCTATAAGACCAAGTAGTACCTCAGCGACTAATGTTCACCCCCTTTTTCCGGTGTACTTAGTCTCTTTATAATGAAGATTACCACAATGATCACCTCTAGCTTTGCATACAAGCGCATACGGCTTAGGACCCCCGGTTATTCAAAGTAACAATTTTCTCGTATCAATAGCTACCAGAAGCGCAACCCGACTATTCACGATGGCATTCATAACCCACAAATTCTGTTAGCGAAAACTTCGCGAGATACGCGAACAACACACCATCCCGCACTAAGGTTTGTAGTGCCGATACCAACGTCTTACTTATATGTACATTGCACAAATTTGAGTCATCAGTTGTTGCATCACTATCCTACTACCTTGAGTTACGACTTTTCGGCAACGACACTACCAACCTCAAAGTCCACTGTCGATCGCAATCGGTATTGATCAAATTGATAAAACAGCTTTATCATTTTCGTGTCTTCTGCGCTCGAAAATTCTATCTATTATAATTGAACATCAACAAAACAGTTGTTGGACTCATACACTAGACTTCCCTTCTATCTGCACGAGTACAGACGGCTTGGTGTTAATCATACGCAAGATATCAAACATGATGCAGACCTAACGGGTTGGCTCAGTCTTCAACTGACAAACTTATCTCACACAACTAAAACCACGAATTATTTTATCTATAATGTTGAGAGACGCTTTCTAACATCAATACCAAGAAATTGCGACGATGGCAAAGCAAATCGATTATCGCTATGCAAATGCTGTAAATTTTCTCAAAGCTATATAGATTTTTTCTCAACCTCTTATTAGTCGAGATCATTAATATTGGAGCGTATCGGAGCACTATAGCGTTGAAGCAATTTGCTTTGTGCTTCCACTATCAGGCTTTTACACACTGCGGCATATTAACCTGGCAAATGTGCGTGTCTCGAGTGCCAAAGAATATAAATTTACACAGAGAGTTTACAAAATACATAGATTTTTAGCTAAGGAATCGCCCTAGACTAACTGATAATCCAAATCTCTCAGCGCAGTATTTCAAGAACCAAAAAAGGGAATAACATTTTTTTGAATAGTGGCTGCAGCGTCGGAGGAATGGTGCAAGCAGTAGATCGGAGTAGTTGCTGCTAAAGTGATTGTGTTGCACGAATATTTACTCGTGTATGTACGGTGTCAATTGTTAATGGCATGAAACACTTAAATAGTTTCTGTCCCGGGATATCTTATCGATTAGGAGGTACATTCGCATTACGATATTGTCCCCGAACTGAAAGCTAATCTGGTGGTATTATGGTATAGAATCAAGATGAAGTACTGGTGCTAATACTCCGTCGGACAGGAATTACAGTGACCGGATACGAAATGCTCTTAGGGCACATGGGCCGTAATTTTCACACATGCGTTATATAGAGTCTCATTTAATCATTATGATAAATAATTCATTTTTATATAAGATACTCTTTACTTGAGCTAGTGGAATACTAGTTAGTTGAGATGTTCTCGGTTAAGTACCCTGGGGATGGCCGCTGAACCCATCATTTGCGCGCTTACTCCAATTGCAAAGATTTCTTTCCGGGATAATCGATATCCTCGTTGTGCTTGGTAGCACTTGTGGTCAACTTGACAACAGAGTCTTGAGGAGACTGAATCGTTGGTGGGGATGAAGCTACTGAATGATTTAAGCTTGTATTAAGAAGCTATTTGTGCGAGGAACAAATAGGCTTTTCGTGCATGAATGAAGATGCGATAACTCCGGTGCAACATCAAGAGCTGGTAGAGACAGGCAACTGTGAGGAACAGTGTTCTATTATGAACGCTGGAAATAGGATCGGTGAGAGTGAGTAATCTCCCAAATTAGCACCGCCTTTTTGTGTCAGAAAAGCTAACAGTATGTGGTCATTTGTGCATGTTATTAAAAAGCCATATGCAGCCACAATTCCTAAAACGCCGAAAATGTATGGTGCTCTTGACCTAGTTAACGTTTTATCGCGTAATGAGGTGGTGGCATTTCTCTCACTGCACTAAAACGTTTGAGAGGGGGACTTCGGGGGCAGATGATTCGGGTCTGCACAACGGACAAATTGAATGCAGCAGCAATTCTTTATCGTCTGGTCGCAGTCTTTGGCTGGATTGCGATGCAAATGAAGCTAATTGGTGGTATATCTGTCCATTTTTTCGCAGATCACGGCAAATCAAATGTGGACGTTGATGTCAAACGCTCTAGAAAAGTGCTCTAGTGTATGTGCTTGATTCTGCAACAGGCCTGAAAGACAAGTATATTCGTGGCGCTAATGAATTTGATTTAAATATGTTCGGCTACTCCCAAACAACAAGACTATTGTAAAAGAGCCGTACCATTAATCTTCCAAGAATTGATGAAGTAGCTAACTTTTTCCGCAAATATTATACCGATATGGCACTCCCTATTGCCAATTTCTTTGAAAAATGTCAATTTATGCTTGTGTGTAGTAGAAGAAGCTGTTTTTGGCCGCTTGAGACAGGCGAAATTTTAATTCAACGATGCGGTCTTGCCCATTAATATATGCTTAGATTACTGTGCAGCTGTATGGCAAAGGCAGAAATGTCACTAATGACATGATATGATCGTTTCGGATTTATAAGGGTATAGAACAACTTTTTTTATAGCCTTTGATACCTATTTAGCTCATGGCAAGTAGCTGCCTACTATAAAGTATGCTCTTGTTAAGCTCCGGGTGCACTTGCTAAGCAAAACCTCATTTGTGATCAGAACAGATCGTCCGTCTAAGAGCACATCAACATCACACAGATAATGGCAAGCTGCTTTTCATATTTGCCGATTATACATATGCGCTTCTACATCACCGATGTCGCCATACATGATAGAGACGTCGCATGCCCAACCAACAAAGTGATACGTTCAGCGTACAGGTTACATAACATATATGCAGCATGGTCGGGAGCTTTGGAAAGAATCATCAGATTTGGCTTCGTCATTCGTTTTGTAGCAGGGATAGTCAAGTGTTTTATGTGTTGCATGGCTCAAAACATTGAAAAGGAATGAGTCTTTAAATTTGGATGCCGCGTTGCCAAAGCGTCTCGTCGCACACACTGCTTCTCCGTGACCCAAGGCTTGCTGAACCACAATACCCACCCGCTTGACATTAAAAGCCTTGAATTACCCACTGCAAGAGGCACACAATACCAGCTTGAGTAACGACCCCCGAAAATCATTGACGGGTGGCTCGGTACGCGCTACGCACTGGTAAATAATATATATGTGGTTAAAACATATGTGTGCACGTATGAACGTGTCAACAGGGTAAGCCCTTACTGCATTAGTCAATTATATTAACAAGTCCACCGGTTCACGCTAAGTTTGGCAGTATGCGATTTATATCTTTGGTCATCCGAACGGTATTACTGGCATTGTGGTCTTTAAGAGCCTCCTGACCAGACTGGCTCATCTTACATCAATGTATCGAACTTAATCTAGATACGGCCAACATGGCTTCCCGGGTGTCATTCAACTATATCGCAATACGCGCTTGACAGCAAAATTTTGACAAACTTTATTCGCAGAGCTTGAATACAGATCGGGCATGCCCACTACGGATCAGTTTCTCTCCGATGTTATGATTGTTAATCGTGGTGCCTTTGGATGCCGCCGTGGAGTGGCTGAAGAGGGCGGACGATTTGGCTTGGTACGCTAATACCAGCTCGATTTTACTTCGTAGCAAGATCACGTATATCGTCGAATTGAGAATTACCGTCGTTCATTAAATGGCGGCGCTTTGCCGATTTTGCAATGACAGCAAGCAGATGTCAGAGGCAAGCAGAACACACATGCACTCAAGCCTGGGGAAAGGAGCTTTCAATATACCTCCACATGCATCTATAAGGTTACGCTGTTTCCTCAGCTAATTGAACTGTCTAGCATTCAAAAGAGCTAAGACTTACTGTAAATATCCCGAACAAAGTGTATATATACCAGTGGTCCACAAAGATTAGATATAGCCGTACCACGACTCCACTCATCCGCGTCATTTGTATGCAAAGCACTCTGCTGAAGGCGAAGCAACGTTTCAATCATCCATCTCCTGTAGCTGATAGACAAAGTGATCTAGGACAGCGACACCTCTATCAGCCGCGTATGGGGATTCAACTCAACTGCGTAGACGAAAAGGGGCACCCAAAATTTGACTCGTATCATCTTTGGCTGAACTGCAGTATCCTCAGAGAAAGTCAGCGTGCATCTACTATATACGAGGGACCTCGTAGCAACCGATTGTAAAAAAGTAGATATTGACCAGCCCTGTTTGATGAGCAAGAGGCGGGCCAAATCTGCGTAAAGCGGATTGCAGTCCAGCATGATCACTGGATTGTAGCCAGTATTTGATTAAGTGGAATGTATAATCTTCCTTTGAGAGCTTTGTGATGCTCCGGTTCAGACTTCGTCAAGCCGCATTGGTGCTGTTGCCTTTTACGACCTAACATACAATCTGTCTTAATCTTCACGACAAAAAAATTGATTTCAATAGCGTAACTGTAACGGGATTACACGCACTCTTGTATGAAAGGGCGGGTCCCATAAGATTGCGCAACCGGACATGGGTGTATATTACACACTTTAGTGCTATCACACAGCGGTGTGGCTACACCGTAACAAGTAGCTTCCATGTGGCAGGATTACCAGTAGTTATGCATTTTACTATATTAATTTGTTTTTTGATATATTTATTAGGTATCACAATATAGATCCTAAGGGTTTAGATATTAGCGGCTCTGCCGCAACTCAAACAATCCAATATAGCTTTACTTTTGAACAGAACTCTTCATTGAGTATTTAGTACTTAGAAGTAGCAAATTGCGACCCACTGCACTTGTTCTGGTTCTAGGAAAGACATAAGGTCGGTGACCTTAGCTTATCTCCGTCTAAACAAAGAGCTACGGCACCCTGCTGCAGTAACGCACTATTATTAGCTGATAGGGACTGATCTTGCTACAAGACTGTAATTAGTTTCTACAGCAGAAAATGCGATGAGGCGAGGTACTCAGCGCGCAAATTGAGTCGAATTCTCTTCGGCACTTTTGCCAACGTTTTCGTACCCCTCATTCGGCTCACAGAGAGTCATGAGTCGCCACTGTTTTAGGCGTAGGTGGTACTCCTGGTAAGTGACGCCCGACACGGTCAGAAAGCGCTGTCGCAACTTTCAGGCGATCATTTTGATTTTTGGTCCAGGAAGAAGGCTTGTGTAAAGGCTCCGAAGCGACGCTAGGATACGCGTGATAAATTCGTTCGATGATCGTGATGTGACTGATTCTCCAAAATTTGCAGCGGCCTTCGCATTTGCCGATGAGCATTAATCGCTTGCTGAGTCGAACCCAGCACACTAAAAAGAGCTAAACGTCGTCGTGAGATTGGCGTCGGGGCTCTTCACCGCAGGGAGACGCAACTCATGCAAAAAGTAGCGGAGCGTAGATACCTGCTCATCGTTTCGTGAATAGTTTTTGAGGCTGAGGATCCGCTTTGATATATATACCCTCAATAAGGATCAGATGCCCGGAATAGTCACTGTGGTCGTCCTGATCGAAGAATACGACCGCAGAAGCCGCGCCTTTTTTGTGGCTTTCTGGTGCTGCGTATGAAAGTGATTGACTTTTTAAGAGCAGGCATTAGAAGGGACGATGGGGGAGGAGAACATCTAGTGCATTGGATGCTCTGAGAGCGCTTGTGATTGCGCGGCGTCTTCAAGGACACCTTAAGTGTAGCCACCATGTGATACACACTATGGTTGGAAAGGTGTGACCGTGTACGCACGCTATTGTCCGCTTTTCCGCCGAAGTTGAAAAAAGGCTAGGGTTGTAAGTCTTCGTAATGAGTTGTCGCTAAAACCCGTGGGCTTTTTGAATCACACTGTGTATTACATAGAATTCATTTCTTATTTGGTATAAACTTCAGCTAAAATCAAATGCACATAATATTAACTAATTTAAAGTCAGAAGAGCAAAACATGTATGACTGCTTGGTCGGCTTTGTTGTCTGCAACTGCATGGAGCGTATAAACCCATTTTTTGCGCCTACTGACATAGAGTTGAATGTAATTTTCGTACGAGGTGCGTTGCAATAACATTGGAGTTGTCAATGGGTCGACGCACATATCGCACAAAGAAAGGTTCGATATTGCAATCCGCTTTAAAGAAGAATAGAGCATGGATCCATAAGCACCATCTAGGTGCCAAATCGAGAGCATTCTAAGTGACAGGACCTCTACTCGTTCTAGTATATGGAATGATAAACGTTAGAACATCCAGATGCCAAACCAAGAGTATCCCTAGTGACAAAACCTCGTCTCGTTCTAACATTCAAAATGATAGATTTAAAACGCCCAGGTGCCGAACCAAGACCATCTTTAGTGACAAGACCGCTACCCGTTCTAACATTCGGAATTAAATATTCGTGAAATAAGTCTGGCATAGTGACTTTAGAATTTCTTAATTGAACTATCTACATAACCAAGCCCTACACAATGCGTAGCACGAGGCTAATAGCGCATACATTCTATGCTCTGCTTAATCCCATTAATCTAATTTGTTAAACCTTTATTTATTAGATGTCATTCTCCTCTGAGCTTAGCTTTGAGTCCGATGGACAGTTGGATAACCATAAGGGAATTACAAAATCCATTACAGGATAATCAATCAAAGTGTACATGCAGATAATAATTGCAGAATGAGATTTAGATTTCAAACTCTTGCAAAACAAAATGCGAATGTTAAAACACTCACACAAATTACACTGCATTTTGAGCATCGAGTTACTCACGTAATGACGTTGATACGATGAAATTGCGAAGCGCCTTCACAGACAATCAGCTTCGACACGTGAACAAGGTGAGCTCGTGCTCAAACGACGACTTCATGCGTAGCGGGTTCATCCTGAACTTCGCACAGACGAAGATTTGACAAATAGAATCTACGCTAACCAACTCGATCGATTTTGTGTTCACACTGGTTATGAATAGGGTCAAGAGCCTATGCCATAGCTAGGTGTCTAGGTAGCTTAGCTTTTTCATAAAGATATATTACTAGAGTAAAATCAATTCCGACGAATGCTTATGAACAATTTAGTATCTTTTATATTAAAAGTATCTCAATTGCTTGACGTGGGACAATCAGTCCGCATGCACATCGGACCTCTCCTCCCTAAAATTCCAATCAGATTGTTAATAACGACACTTTGGTACTTACGATAGTCATAAAATTACACCAAAATAACTTTCTAAAATTTGATAGTGTTGCACTTAATACAAACATTTTAGGAGTGTCAAGTACGGTAGATTTTATTTTTGCCCTGCTACACTCCCCACAACTACATATGTAACCACATGGAAATTCACGCTTATTTTGTCTTTTAGACAAGCACACATGCGACTAACGCATGAGCATTCACAGCGAATGGAGTATAACACCCTCACATTCCACTTTTCTGCATCTGCTGTTCAAGTAATATTATTGCCCGACAAGTGAGCCAAAAAATCTTCGGTGAGGATGCCCACTTGCTCTCCGACCAGAGGTGTCGAAGTGAATTCTCAAGCCCGGACCAAACGTTTTTGCTTCATCCACCCTCATTGCTCCCAGCATCACCTCTGCCCAAGGCACATAATTCGTGCTTTTTAATCGGCAAGATATATCAATAATCTACAGTAATCCTCATGGCGATGTCCAGCTTGCAAACTCAATCTGGCTTAAGAGGTTTAGCCTGATTTAATTCAAACTTAAGTGTCACGCTGACTCTGGCGTAATTCACGTCGAAATTACGGGCATGAAACGTTCGAAAGCGCTCGCCACCCTGGTGAAAAGGTTCTTAACGACCACATGCGCTTCATCAAGCGGAAGATTATTACTTTCTTTTATATCGTCTGCGCTTGTAGTAGCAGTAAGTGAAGATACTCGTATTCTTCATGAAGAGTATATCCTTATCAAAAACTAGCGAAATTTTCATTGAGCATACGACTCAGCTCGCATAGTATGCGAGAATATCCAACCGTTTCCCCGTGTATTGCATGACAAGCCAGCTTCAGCAAAGCAGACGTCGGACATGAGCATCGTCGCGTAATTAACCTCGCAAAGCTGTTAGCACTACGCGGACATCGAGATGACAATCCATCATTTTGAGTTCTTGCTGTTTCTGACCCCGCGACTCCATGAGAAGATTGTTTAGCGACCGACATAAGGTCTTTTTAACGGCAAAGCTGTTCACTCTTTATCCTTTGTAAGCGCTTGCGACGGGCGATCCTGCCCCTCCTACAAGGGAGATAAGGGCCGAGGGTACGTCAGGGTGTAAGGGTGTAAGCGGTCTCAACACTAGGGCAATCAAGCCAAAATGAAATCTCAAACTTCCACAACTTTCAGAGCTGAAGGTTACCCTCTCACTTCATGTCGTAATGATAACAAGTCTGGTAATACCTTGATCATCGAAACGTTCCGGCGGAGTTAGACCCTACCACGCCTTAATCTTGTGATCTATCGCGTTTGTGACGGCACGTCGACTCCCTCCAATAGTCACGACGTGCGTCCGAGGCTCAGATGAGTCAGATGTCGAATTGACTTTCTGACGCTATGTCTGGTTTGAGAACCGCGTCGCAGCTTTGGAGCAAAGAGTGGATCAGCTACAGGAGATTGTAGAGCCGTGACTCCCTCGCGTTCGACTAGCTCATAAAAGTGGAGAAGTTTCATGGCTTTAGTAAGCCCATGTAGAATACCAGATTTGTTTGCATTTCTTTATTACCTAGCGTATAACCCAGTAGATCAGCTTTAGGAGGTTGTAGAGCCGTTGCTTCTTCGCGTCCGACTGGCTCATGAAAATGGGGTTGTGTCATCGCTTCAGTAAGCCCATATAGAACACCAATTGTGTTTGCGTCTTCTACATAATATGAGCGTATAATTCAATCTCTTTCCAGCTACGACCTAAACCAGTCCCAGTGAGCGCGAGTGCAACTTTGTCTTATAGCCTGCTGACTTTCCATTTGTCGGTAGTTTAATTACAAGAAATAAGTAGACGTATTAGCCCCACGACAAATTTGTGTATGTTTCGCCTGCATCTGTCAACAGTGCATCTGCCGAGGACATTACGTATCCTACGAATGACGATTAATCTCTTTGAAGCGAAATTAATTCTTTTGTATCAGAGTGTAGCCGGAATGACGTCAAAAATTTGTTGATTGATAATGTACCCCAACAATACCGATGCCACTTTGTGACAGTGCCAAAGGAACCAGGGGGTTATGTTTTTCATGTTAAATGGGGTAAAGCTTTGAGAAGGCATTCTGCATGATGTAATGCAAGTACTACGATTATGAGAAATCTGTCGCAGCACCGCGGTCGTTCTGCACAAGCAAGTGCTTTCGAGAATATCCACCTCAACGCAATGCACGCGCTCAGTTTAGCCATCCATTTGCAAATGGCCAGCGGTCGCCATGTCCAATCAATGCTGAGCACCTTCAATGATGTTTGCCATACTCTACTGGGAAGTGCAGATCTCTATACAATACAATAGATTCCGCCGGGTCAAGTTAGCGATCCACTCTGTCGAGAGATCGTTTGGCTGTATCTTTACCAATCAAGCTCGAGCTGACGTCAGCGTTATTATGAGTCATCAGACGTTTTTCAAAGACCACCATATTGGTATGACCGGGTGTGTTCTTTTACAAGATCGAAAACAGTCAATTTTATAGACTGTCAAAACTCTACCAAAACTACCAGGATGGCTAAAGGTGAGAACGATAAAGGCGAGATTATATCCCGTCGACACGCTTCACACCTGCGAACTTATGTGTTTACCAACTTCTACATGTAGGGTCGCCAATTCATAGCGCACACCAAGCAGTATGTCGTTTTTCTTCCGAGACGGCCACCCAATGCGGTATCATGTGTTTCGTACAGGATTATGTACCTTTGCTTCAACGTGTGAGACCACTATTCGCCGTGAGTCATGTGATTAGTACTAAATTCAGCGTTCCTAGGGATCAGGTATAGCAGTGCATGCGTAATCCAAATATAGTACATTCGAAATAGCAGAGTTGTTAGTTAGAGGCTCTCGGTCTCGCTTCTTGAAGGAGCGCACGAACTCATATTTGTACGCTAGCAACGCGGGCTTTGAGAGTCTAGGCTTCTTCTGTGTAAAACACACGGCAACTTCGTAGTACCTAATACTTGATAGGCTCTCAGTGACGCTCCAGGGTGGCGCATGCGACCGAACCTCTGTGCTTTAGTTAAGCGGACTGTTTGAATCAAAGCTTCGTCCGTGGAAAGTGAAAGGCATTCTCATTGCAGGGAGCCCCTTACAACAGACCCCCGTTGCTTAATGCAGGGCACCCTGTGCAAAGTGGACACACTCCTATCAAGAGGCATGTTACAGTAGGTGGAAAGCACTCACTCTGGCATGCACCACATAATTTGCTCTATGTCGTCGATCAAACAAAATATATTGAGAAATATCGACACACAGCTTGTCAGACCAACAAATTATTTACGTGTGGAAGAAAATATTCTCTACTAGCTGCGACATGAATTACTAGCAAGTTTTGATGATGTTAAACGTAACTAATATGCTAACAATAAATCTATTCCACAAGTCATTGATGGTGGGTGGGTGTCTTGGTTGTTTCTGCCTTCGCTTCGGTACATAGAATTGTGCACTTAGCGTGGTACCGAGTAGGTTTTTGGTTAGCACGCAGCGCTAGACCGTTTTTTACGTGGTCTCGCCACATCACCACTTTAACAAGACATTTACTGATTGGGTTGCAAACACCGGTAACCCCGCTACTTTTCGTTTTTGAGGGATCCAGCTTGCTTACCTCTATCGTGATTACCAATTTTTTCGATGGTCGACATGCAGGGAATACCATCTGACGTGAAACAGGTCCAAAGTAAAGCGCTTCAGCATGGGGCAATAGATATCCATTTGAGGCTGTAGAAAACACGTAATACCATCGGCTACGTCAATCGCACAGCCTGATGACCAGAAAATTAATCAGAAGCGACATAACTGTCGCAATGAACGCAAGCAGCTTATTTCGAGAGCAAAAGCATTCATCAAGTTAAGAAAGCAAAAGCTTTAAATTTTATTTGTCCAGTTCCTCCGTTAAAACTTCGCTGCTAGGATCAGCATAGCTTAATTGGGCCATTAACTCTTCTTCAGTCACCTCAGCTGACTTCTCAGTACTATTAAATTGCGTGTTCGTGTCCGGATAAGACGCCATCGTATCACCTTTAATTCGTTGTCGCTTTGTTGCTGGCATCTGGTAATGCTCGGGGTAATCAAAAGCTGCGTCTTCTGTCGTGTCTGCACCTTTTGCCTGTACCATGGCGACAATAGCATCTCGGTCCGAGCGTTCTCCCGCCTGTTTTGCAACAGGGTTTGGATCATCAAATGCCCAGCGAACATTCAGCACCTCGTCACTTTGCAACGTTTGGTTGGCCATAGCTTCCTTTGCGAATTCGGCGGAGGTACGATGCCGATACCTAACAAAGCAAATCGATTTACGAGTGATTACATTTATGTTTTCTACCTCACCCCATTCTCCAAATTGTTTCCAAAGCGCGTCTTCCTGTAACTTTAAAGCTTCGTGTCCATTCGTACTTTTCAACCCTCCCACATAAAGGGTCCGCGAATTCCTTGTAAAGTTACCGACACCTGCCATATCATCTCGATCCGTAGCATGACGTTCTCGGCCAAAACAGTCGTGCATCATGCCAAGGCGAGTCTCGTCCGCCACAGATGGTAAACGATGGTAGTAACTGCACTCCGCACCTCTGGCACACATGCCACGCGCAAAGTGCACGCAGAAATACCTGTTTGCCTTGCTCACGACGTCTGCTTTAGTTTTTCCAGCATCACGCTCAAGGACGCAGCGCGTGGTGGCCGGTTCCTTGCCGCGTGCGTCATCCCAATGATCTCCTATGTACTTGTCATACCAAATATTGTACTCATAAGCTCCTTCGAGCTGCGAGTTGGCAGTAGGCATCGCGTCTAATTGCTTGCGGGCCGGTCGCGCCAAAAACTTTGCATTTAGGTTCTCGTACCGGTCGTTCTCGGATGCGCCGGCCTTGCCTCGGCCAAACCAGCCTGTGCCATGTGGCGCTGCACCCATTTCAACTGGTCGCTCCCATTGTGTCGCTTTTGTTTCGGTGTTGTAGTAGTATATTTTATTCGACACCGGATCTAGCGCCTCTCGCCAACTATGCGCGTCAGCTTGACTGTGCACCACCAAAGCATCAAAACGCTCCACTTTGGGTGCGCGGCAGCGAAAGCAGCGCTTGGACCGCGCATAATTTTCATGACTGCAGTCGGGACATATCCAGTTTTTCTCGTACACGGCGTAAGCAGCTCCAACTTCGCCTAGCGTACCTACGGCGGTAACTTTGCGTGACAGCCCGACGTCGTCGTTGGTTGAGCTCATTTTCGTGGAGAGCAAAAAGGTCAAGATGGTGTCAAAAGACTTTTGGTCATTGAAGTGAAATTGTTATGTTAAGGGTATCCTAATATTTCGACAGCGACAGATGTTGTCGATATCTTGACCAAACAAACTTTATGGTGTCTCGAAGACTGAATACATTGGGCTACCAATCAAGTCATCTGTGTAGTGTATATCCTTCCTTCATCCCTCCTACTTAAATTTTTCCTTCTTTGCTATTAGTCGCGGTGCACAAGCGACAATTCCCAGTCAAAGACCTACAAGAACTGAGCCATCCAGCGAAAGCCGTCAGCGTATCCCATTCGACGCACAACTGAGCACATGTACAGCTCAATAGGGCGAATACTGGCGTCTTTGTCACTGCGAGCTTCTTTTCCATAAGTCTCATACAAGCCCAATGAGCTGCGCAGCTCGTCTTCAGATGCAGCGCGTGGCACATCAATCTTATTGCCAAGCACAAGGAACGGCACATTTGCCAGCTCGTCGTAGCCCAGCAGCGTGTCTAGCTCGCGCTTGGATTCGGGAAAGCGTTCGCGGTCCAGTGCATCTACAACAAAGACTACACCGTCCACTGTAGCAAAGTAATCTCTCCAAAGTCGACGCGCAGTTTCGTGGCCGCCCAAATCGAAGGTCCGAAGACGCAATTTGCCAATAATCAATTCCTCCGAGTTAGGATGGAGTGTGGGCTCGTGAACCGCTACACGGTCATCTTTGAGCATGTGTAAAAGAGTAGTCTTTCCTGCATTGTCCAGTCCCAAAAACAGAATTTTTGCGTTCTTGTGGTAGAGGCCTAAAGATAAATAGTCGCATAATATCAAAAAATGTCATCCATCTGGTCATTTAAGCTAAGATCTGTAACAACTGCTCGAATTTGAGGTCGAAACGGTACTGACGAACACAGAGGCATTCTAGACATTATGCACGTACCTAGATATCCAAGTATGTCATAAAACCAGTCGAACAAAAACATGGTGGCGGGAGTTTTGCGGCTGAGAGCTGATTGGGCTAGTTTCCACTTTGGGACAACGGTAGCAAACCGCGAAATGAAAGAATAGAGGAAGAAGAAACAGAAGGATCGGACTATATTGAGTACATACGGTGGTAGAAGCTTCTATTGGAATTTCACGAGCCAGGCGCGTTAAAAAGCTGCCACCACCAAATATTACAGAGGCTTTTTGCCAGAATCGGGCCACGAAACAGGTTTCCATTTGTCGAAAATGCAGATTTCATAATATTATATATCTGCCAATGAAAACATATACAGTAAGACTAAACCACATGCTTTATTTCGAGTACCGAAGTGCGGGATGCGGCGGCGCGGTGTAGGCATCGGTGCCGTGCGCAAGAAGCAGGAGCAGGCGAAGCATTTTTCGGAAGTTGGAGAGCAGCTAGTAGAGGCAAACTTGTTGCACATATCATCACAGCTGGATCTATTTCGAACGAACTTGCAGGCGTTTGCGATCAAATACAAGAGCAACATTAAAAAGGATCCTGACTTTCGACGCAAATTTCAGGTTATGTGCGCCAAGATTGGTGTAGATCCGCTGGCTTCCAAGAAAGGATTTTGGTCGGAACTGCTGGATGTGGGAGATTTCTATTACGAGCTTGCAGTGCAAATAATCGAAGTGTGCATCATCACGCGCTCCAAAAACGGTGGGCTGATCGGCATGAGCGATCTGCTGCGTTTGCTCGAAAAGAAGCGGGGGGCAGAAATGCAGACAGTGATTGACGATGACGTAAAGCGGGCAGTTAAAAAGCTAAGTGTGCTTGGCGAGGGATTTCAACTGATCGACATGGAACAGAGGACGATGGTGAGCGTTCAAGCTGTTGTAGATTGGAGATTTGAAGGGAACTCAATTAATTGATGATCATACAGATTGTGACAGTTCCAGTTGTACTGAGTCAAGATCATTCAACGATCTTGGCCATGGCACAGACGACTGGTGGCATGGTAAATGTTAGTATCTTAGCACGTGAGCTGCAATGGGACAAGAAGCGCAGCATGCTAGCTCTGAACTTGCTGCTTCGAGAAGGCATGACGTGGCTAGATGAGCAGGTACGGCGGCTGTCAGCTTCTGCTGCATATGGTGTTCCTGCTTTTTACCGTAGATTATCATGCTGTATAGACGAGCGAGCCTTCGTACTTTTTTCCAAGCATCACTCTGTCTGGAGCATACTCGTAGCCATTTAATATTCTTTCATAAAGGTAAAAAATTATTTTAGTTTTTTTATACCCCTATTTTACGCCTTGAAGAAACGTCTTTCAGCATGGGGAAGCCGCGCTACATGTGTGAGTATTGCGATAAGTCATTCGAGGACTCGCACAAGAATCGTCAAAGGCATAACCGTGGTCGCAACCACAAATCCAAGGTTAAGCTTTGGTACGATAGCCTTGAAGGTATGACTTCTCTTTCTGTAGTTTTTCTAGAACGTCTTACGTTCTTTGCTGTCAGCTCAAGAGCGAGATGCGGCTACTGCACAGTCAGCTCAGACCGGTAGTCTCTTGAGCCAGCGCGGACTTTCTGCATGGACCCCAGTAAATTTTCCAACGATTTCGAACCATGGTCAGATTTTCTCGTTAATGGAACTGCCGCCATCAATGCATCCAGCCCCACCTGAAGCTTTCTACTACTGCTCAACCACATGGGGTTGATCTTAAAGGTTACACAGGCGATACAGATATTAAAAGGGTGTAAGACAAGCAGGTCCCGAATTATTGATAACATTGACACAATTCGACACTGGTTCCAGACACGAGACAACAGTCCATTCTTACGTTGCTGCAAATACTCGACCTATCCGCCGTGGACCCAAGGATGCATAGCGATCTGCTCTACTGTCAGGCGCCGGGACGGGTCATCGACAACCAGCATTTTTGACATTAAATCACGCACGCTCGCAGACACGTGGTCCATGCCCCATGAGTCTAACATTTCACCCATAAGACCCTGCGCGATCATCTGAAATCGCGGATCTGCGTCATCTGGCCGCTCAAAAGGCGGTGCACCTGTCACCATGATAAAAAGCATTACACCTGTTGACCAAATGTCTGCTGAGAAGCCATTAAATGGGACTTGGTTGCGGTATATCTGTGTACAGCAAAATTTAGGTGGATCAAAGAAAGCGAAAGCCCAAGCCTCATACACTTACCTCAGGAGGCATGTAAAATATTTTTCCAACAGCACCAGCTGGTGGTAAGGAATATGTCATGCCGCGTGCATCGACAGGTATTCCGATTGACAGGCCGAAGTCAATGATCTATTTTACATGTGGCAGCAACTGTTATTGACGTTGATCTAAACAAAAAACAACATTGTTTTTTGCCGTACCTTCGAAGTATCACCATCCAACAGCACATTTTCTAACGACATATCACGATGGCAAATATACCGACTCTGGAGGTACGAGAGACCTGCAAGAACTTGGGTAAACCAATGGCGGCACTCATCTTCTTCCATCGCGCCCCCACTTTCCACTACGGAAAACAACTCGCCACCATTGCAGAAAGGGAGCACGGCATAGATGAAATCAGCATCATGTAAGCATTCGAGCTGAATCAACAAGGACAAATTCGCCACCATAAGTTGATAGTACGCCGTCTTTCAGCTTACTACCGTCTTACCAGTGTGAGAACATTTTCATGACCGGGAATCGACAGATATTGCTGCGCTGCCAGCTCGACAAGCGGATTTTCCTGGAGATTGCCTTCTTCTATAATAACCTGTAGAGATATAGCACAGCATTGAGCGTGTCCAACCCATTTTTACCGGATGAATCGATGTGCATACCTTACTCATGACCTTGATAGCAACCTCAAATTGAGTGCGTGTAAAAGTGCCATTAGGCGTCACTTGCAGACGCACAGCGTGTTTAACCTTACCGTAGATGCATTTACGTAGCGTGCGAACGAACTCGTACACGGCACCAGAGCCCGAGAAGATGGCAAGCACCATGCCAACGCCCTCAACTGGAACGCGCCGCAGTTCTGCGTTGATAAAACGCACTTCTTGCGGAATTGGCGAGCTAAGCCCATCGTGATCAAACTGTTCAGAGCCTGTTCGAAATACGTCATCGGATGGGTCAATGCCCAGTGCCTGCAACTGCTGCTGAAGTTCAGCCGATACTTCCTGCATAGCTACTTCTTCGTGTCTAGATCCCGAGTCAATAGCTTTTTCAACCCTATCGGGCTGCTTGTCGATAGCGCTAACACTGTTTGAGCGATCTGCAAGGCCTCGGCACGATGATAACGCAGTGACTGGCTCCTTTGAGGGAGCTTGCACTGGTTCGGTAGCTGCTCGATCTCTAGAGAACCTTTTGCTGAGAAGTCCGCCCGCCCACGATCGGAACCGGTCGAATCTGCGTGTGCGGGATGGACGCTGGCTGCCGGGCGCTAGCACTCTCGTGTTGACTTAGTTGCCTGTGCGTAGCGACAGGTCAAATATGCGGCACGGCTGAGCTCCGCTACAACAAATGGGAGTGAGGAAATAAATGAAGATAAAGTGATGGTTTAAAACGCACTTACCACACTCAATGGAGCGAAAAAAGACCGAGGCGTTAGGGGAGACAAGCAACCAAGTGATCGAGTGACGGTTGCAGGACGATCGACGATAGCTAGGCAAGTCAACGAGTACAGCTGTACTGTAACGTTCTCGCGTTTTCCTGAATTAGAAATGGTATTAGAAATCGCCTATTTCGACGATATAATCTTGATTCGAAAAATTGAGTTCGATATTTAAAGAACAGAATACTTACATTATAGCTTGTTTGGGAAATTAGATTTATTTTCGACAATGTGAAATCCATTTTTTCGAAAAATGGAACGAGGGGTATAGAGATAAGTGGAAGTAACCGTGATGGCAAAAAACGCAATAGTTCGTTACTGGATATATATAGAAAAGCATGTCCAGTCAATGGTTGTAGACACTACGACATATGAACAGCTTCGATCAAAAACAACAAGGACAACAGGATCAACAAATGTCGGTAAACGCGAGTAATTTATCTCAGCATATTGTAGAAGGATAATTTGATGACGTCGCACATAGCAAGCAACTAAAGCGTCTAGTCAATTGATCCGACAATAAGTTTAACTTTGTCGAAGCACGCCTTGCGCACGACACACAACTCCGCAAAATAATATTTGACACATTCTTATTAAGACGCGGATCTTAGCACTCATCGTTAATGTCGACATGACTGTGGTAGCGTAACGAATTCATAGCACAGTGGTCGCGTCATAAACACTAAGACAATATGCTTTGAACTTCCAAGTAGCGCATGGAAATACAAAACCGCATCCTTAAAAAGGTAGCATAATTTAACTGAAGACGAAACTTAGGGTTCTCATTTTGTGAATCTGGACGCTGACCGATTCGCCCAGCCCAATCGTACACATCAAAACGGTCTAACCAAAAATTACTTGTGTCTAGTTCTTGCTGTGCTTTTATTGCTTGTATCATTTCAATTCTCATAAGGTGCGGGCACATTATTGTGTTGCTTTAGAAACAACCATACTATGATAGAAATCTATCAATTCGCCTTGGAATTTTAAAAGTTTTAACAGTGAAAAGTAGCACATACGGTGGTAGGTCATCTTGTGGTTTGTTAATATGCTATTGCTGAGAGATCACTTGTTGGTTTGGTGAAGGATCTCGTTGGAATATGCTCACTTTCATAATTTACTCAGAGATTTTTCAACGATACGCGATGCGCTTTGCAATCAGTAATGTGCTTTTCAGCCAATGCTAGTTTGAGCGAGGTCGAAGATGTGCTGCCTTCAATACCTGTGACAACAGTACACTTGAACGCTTCGTCTGCACTTTTGTATTCACTGGGTGAAACTTCTCAGATAGGCGAATAAGATTTGACTATGGATTAATTTACCATCATACCAGCTCTCCTCAAATATACAATTTCAAATATTATGGAGTGCATTACTGCTTCCTTATAAATCCATCAGCTGCTTTGCCGAAAATTTGAAGCTTATGGTAACCGAGTCTGCTCTTGATGTATAATTCACTGCAAAAACATGTGAATCTCATCGCGCCGGCATCTCCTCGTATGCATTGCCTTTTTGCGACAGATTTGCCTTAACCTGAGCGTGAGTGGTCGCTAATCAATGATTTGCACGCCCCACCTAGCAGCGTAACCGAAAAGTAATTAAAATATTTTTGCCTTGACATTTATTTTGCGATGCGAATTACATATGCTGTGCCTAAAATTATGAAGTGACACCATATGAATGTATCAACGATCAAAAAGTATACTATAACATATTTAATATTAGATTAGATACACATAATGGAAACTTTAAAAAAGCATCCCAAAGTTTATTCTTATTTATACGACGCCAAAAAAATAATCAAGGTAGTCATTTTCATACCTTCCACGTACCTTCAATAGTATTCGTATGCACTTCACTTGTTGGATCCTTAAACCGCTATCAATAATTAACAGTGTAATACTCAAAGAAGAATACCATCAATTTGGATGATAGAGCCAGTAAAATGCTGCAAGATATGTCTGCTCTAAGACAGGAAGAAAAATTGCAATACATTCCGATCTTCGGTATTTTATACACCAACAAGAATCCATATTCCTTCTACACGATGCCCACAATGCTATTTGCTATTTGTTTCGTCGATCCACAGCTATAATAGGTCTACTAAGCGTTGGTGCTTCTTCACCAACGGAGTCAATAATTGACTGACGAAAAATCCTTTGAGAAGTTCGCAACAATGTGCTTCGAATGCTTTGCTGTGCTCTGAAAAGATTTGCTTATTTCATCTTTTAACCATAAGAAACCAGGATCAAGAATTTGGTGATTGGGAAAACGATGCTCTTAAAAAAACGCATTCTGATGAAGTGGAAATTCATTGGAACATTTCTTTGTAGGGCACCAAAATCTTTAGTGCTCAGAATAGTACTTCATTTGTCTATTACACACTTCACAAGTACAATCCATGTAAAAGGCGCCCTTCTCAATATAAAAGTTTGTCTTTGCAGAAAAGAATCTCGGTGAGCATGGATTCGATATGGCAAAAATAATGCAGCAATATTCGAATACCTTCAATAACTATTAAGAATTATTTATAAAAGTAGCGTGGGATTTATGCACTTCAGCCATTAAAACTTTTGAATTGCATAGCGTGAGACTAGCAACTCAAGTATATTACGGACCCCTTCCTTACAGAACCCATCACCTTCATCCGTACTAAGAAGCTTTACTTTGGTACTTCTGAGCTTTAGTCCGAGGGACGATCGTTTAGTGAACGTACACCATAATTTGATATTTACGCCGCCCTTCAAATTTAAAGCCCGCTGGGGCCATAACCATTTTGTCTTTTCAGCACATCGCGCAAAATAAGCGCTTTGTTCGTACCATGCAACAGAACTGCCAATCACTCTGCACAGAGAAAGCTTTGACTCGAAGCGTTTGCATTTACGGCGCACAAAAGATCAGTTTGTAAGCTCCGTGAAGGAACAATATCGAGCCAATAAAGGAGCTAAGAACTTAGTATTTTTTTTAATTATGCTTAAGATAAGCTACCTGAATAGTACTATCTAGCTTTTATGCATCACATTGATTGAATTGAATGGTGAGATCCCATGGACCTCGCCTCAAGAGGTCTAATTCTCTTCGTTACTTTCGTAATTGTGGACATATCAATTTTGTTTAGTTTAACAAAAGTATTATGTGAAGTTGTACAATTGCACAACAAATGCATTTTGCGCACTTGCACAGGATTATAATGTCTAGGTACAGAGCAGTGATGGTGTAATACATGACACTATCCTCCAACAAGATACGAGGCTCACACTTATCGTATCCTTTTAGGTTAACTAGCAAAACTGAGCTCTCAACGAGGACCCACTGCGCTTGGAATTGACTCCAGTCCATGCAGCACCAGTGTCTGGCCATACGAGTACAGGAGTCTACTTCTAAATAAAATCAAAATTGCTCGTTGAGTCCCTGAGAGAGGCGCAATCCTTGCGCTCGACAATCCTCCATGGTTTTTATTTGTGAACTAGGCCGAGACGTTTCAAGAACGTCGAAGCGACTCTTAGCTTTACGAAATGCATTAGCCGTTCACTGAAGGAGAGAAGCTCTCACGTTAGCCTCTCCTCTGCACTCAGCCTGCTCGTCTACAAGCGCAGGGAGTGCAAATTCATTTATTGATTTAATCTAATGGCGTTGCTCGCCGCTCCTTGCAGGGCCCGTATAGGCTTTTGCATTAGAGCTTCCGCTAAATTCGAGCGTAAAACAGGCGCTCAAGTATCGCTTCGCAAGCGCTTTCTGGTCTAACTGCTTACAAATCCTTGTCAGCGCTGCCGTCTCACTTTCAGCATTTACAATTGAGTAAAACAGTATCTTTCATAGTGGGGACACTGGGTGCTAGCAAAAATTCCAGGGGATATTTGCCGTCAATTCGCGCGCTGGATGAGGATAAAAAACACGTCTTCTAGACTGTCTTACAGCTTGACAAGCCAGCATTGGTGGCGCAAACGTCCGACTAGAACGTTGCTAAATGCTTCACCTACCCAGGGTCATAGTATGACGTGGACGTCGAAATGGAAACTCATACCATCAAGTACTTGCTATGAACAACACTGCTCGTCTCGATGGTCCTGTTGCTTTGCGATCTGCCATGTCGAAAAGCTTGTGGCGCTATGTGACCCTGTCCCTTCCCCGGGATGATCTGGACCAAAGTTCGCCATGTCATAAATGCTAATAGCGCCATAGTTATCTTGTAAGAAGACGCCTTACAATATCTACACCTGACACCTGTTCTCGAAGTAAATGTATTTTCACTTACTATTGCTTACAGCCCTGGTGATATGGTCGAACCATTATTCACGCCACATCCCATGCTCACCGAGCAGTACAGGTGGTGAACTAACATCCGTTAACCGGGTCTCGTGAGCACGCTTGGTTACGGTATAACGTCGAATCTCGCTAAGTTTAAGCCTTTGGCCAAGTCTGGGAACCAGCTACATACATATTTGGTGCACTCCGAGCGTACGGAGTTCCTCATGCGGCTCAAATCTAATATGACGCCTTCTGGCAGAAGATGACTTATGTTGTGGGGGATTTGCGACGTCACTTTGTCCTCGGCAAAGCTTTTCACATTTAAGTGGCTCGTGAGAGCAGAATCATGATATGGCCTCAGCAAACCGGCGAAGAGTACAGAATGTGTTCGTGCATTTTCGACATGTTAAAAATGTATATCAATCCTTTGTTTCAGCGACCGCGAGCGGTCCGATGTAGTGACTGTGTAATTACGCCTTTCTTCACATTATATTTATTTGTGTTCCGTCTGCCTCTGGGCTCGGCACGTTGCTTTTGCACGGGCTGACACTCAGCCATGGCATTAATCACTCGTCGTATATCGATGAGCACATCAGTTGAAATTCCTGATTTTGCTAAAAGTGTAGCCGGGATGATCAGCGAATAAAATTAAGACCAGAGTCACTTCGATATGGCGCCAAAATAGGTGATCAAACAACTCTTATGAAAAGTCATGAACTCCATCATTATTGGTAAACTTAATAATTGGAAGCAAATCGCTCCACCGACACAATCTCACCTGGAAAAATCTGTGAAGGATACCCTTTGTCACGCGATTGACCCATTCCGTCTGGTCACCCCCTGGCGGATGGTCGACGGTGGGCACAAATAATCTGGTGCTCAGCATAATGTTCTTCAAAAATGAGTAGCAAAGCGCGGATCCTGACCGAAAACAATAGGCGATGTTAGTCCAAGTTGTCGAAACATTTTGTCGATGGATATGCCGGCCGTATTCTTACCGGTAATGATATCGCTGACAAAAGTGAGATGAATCTTATTGCTCAGGCGGTTAGAAAAGATCACGATTCCGGTATTACCGGACGTGTCTGGTAGGGTAAATGGACTGAGATTCTGACTGTCAGCACTCTGCTGAGATTTGCAGACTTACCAAAGGCACTGGTGCAGACGGAGAGGGTCCAACCTATCTAAACGTTTCGCACGTGAGTTCAAATGTTAAAGCCGACTTATACAAGCAAAGCCGTCAGTGCCTAGCGCCCATACAACAGTACCTTCTCTCTCGTCCGAGGTGACCACCAAAAAATATATCATGTGTCCTTTCACGAGTGAAAGCCTTCACTATCACTAATCAGTCCAGCATCGTAGCCCCCTACGGTTGGCGCATCAAGCGGTAGTGCTATCATAACATCGTGGTCAGAATGAATCATCCTTGATATCTCAAAGACTTAGCTCCTATATTTATGATCGCTTGACTCCATTGGCCCCGTGGAACAGAGAATCGTGACTTACAGTTGCACTTCTATATATCCACCGCCTCTGCCACAGAAGTTACAAATTTTCAGCTGCGCGTGAACGTCATCCGGAAGTACACCCTGTATTTATATCGTCGCTAACTCATGTCTTTGACGACATACGCTCTAAAGGACGCTGTAAATATTTGTTATTGTCTATCTCGCCTTGCAACCGTGGCACGCCGTAGCTCTCTTCTTCATGACATCGGTGTAAATTAACATCATAAGCGCTTTGCTATTTAGGAGATATAGGTTTATTGATCACTCAACGGAGACATGTGTGCCCTTTTAGCCAAAAAATCTACTTGATCGATGGCTGAAGATTATACTTTCAGTGAGATTGTATAATCACTTCAGGTTCAGAACGAGACAGCGTTTCACGCTGTCAAAGCTCTCACAAATCACTGGAAAGCTTAAAACTCACAGGTGCTCTTTTCGCAAGGTTCTCAAATCTGTATCGGCTTCTTCAGCTTCTCTAGATAGCTTGGCACGGTTCCAGTGTACAATTTGAGCATCGTACAAAATGGCACGACACTCTTGCAGCTATATAGACTTTTCACCACGTCACAAAGCACGGGAGTTCAATGTTGATGGCAAAATCTTTGAGCTGTAAGGCCATCGTAAATAAAGCCACTTTGGTATGGGCTAGGTCCCATTACTCTTGACCTCTATGGTGTACAATATAATCTAAATACTTACCAGTAAACCCCCTACGCCTTCTAAGAATCGCCGTTTCTCCACGATGGTTTTTTGGAGTGGAAGGTCGACTTTTTCTTACATCATAGCTGAGAGAGAACACAAGGCGCAGATGTCTCATAATTTCACAGAGATGTGATACCTGCGCGTCCAAGCCAAACAAAAGATTTATTTTCTTCTTCTCAGCCTCTGCTTGACTCGTGGACATGGTTCGCTAATACTCACTCAAGCTTACACGGCCGGGTTAGGGGGTGCAAACACCAGCGACATATGTCGCACTAATCCTTCCCATGCAGAGCCTCGATTTCTGATGAATGGCCCGTCATTGCCCATTATCGTGCGCGGCCTTCCTGTTTAAAGTCCGACCGGCTGATGCGTCGACTCAAATATGGCTGGATCTCATTTTCGTCAAATTCTGTTTTCACATCAAAACTTACCTTTGAGCTCAAATGGATGACCAGTCGCAGTCACCGCCTTCAGCACAAAGCCCATACTTATCGAGGTGTGGTGGTGCCCCGAGAAGACATTGTGGACGTATCTATATAGGTAACAGTCTGCTAGTCTGATGGGTGAATACCAAAGAATACCAGCTAATACAAAAACTTACACGTGATAAGGCAATGATTAGAAATACGGAAAATAGGAAGTAATGGGCGGCAATAATGAGCGGCCAGATTCCATTACAAATGTTGTGTGGACCACATACTTTATGTCAAACATTAACTATACATCCTGCATATTTGTATATGTAGCGAGGCTTTGCTCGGAAGAAGCTTAGCTAAGGTCACCGACCTTACGTTTTTTTTCAGAATCAGTACTAGTGTAGCGGATCGCAATCCGCTACTTCTAAGTACTAAAAAACTTACCCAAAGTAAGAACACTACACTTCAGTTAAAAAACGAAGCTATTTTTGATTATTTTAGTTGCGGTAGAGCCGTCAATATCTAATCCCTAGGTTTTCCTAATTAATATAGTAATACCTAATGTATATAGTAAAACCTAATAAACAAGCAATATGTATCACTCCTGGTAATCCTGCCACGTGATGGCTTCTTGTTACGGTGTAGCCACACCACTGTGTGATTACACTTACTTGTGTAATACACACATATGTCCGGTCACACAATCTTGTACGGCCCGCCCTTACCTACAAGGGCACGTGTAACCCGTTACACTATCCACCATTAGACACCTTAACGCTCTCTAAGAACAACTTAAGCATTCTCCGCTCTATGAGCCTTGCGTCTACGACACGCGAAACACACAGCCTAGCTGGTAGCGATGGCGCCCGCAGGCAAAGCCCTTCTTCTTCTGCAGAGGGTGCATCTGCATACAGTACGCCCGCGGCTTCACGTGAAGCACATCCAAAGCCATCGACAACCGAGCGCAACACACCGGGCCCGCCCCGAACGACAGAACTCCGCGTCGATGAGTGGGAGGAAGTCGACTACGAGTCGGACACTTCATTCCTAGCATGGGATGACGAGGAATATGAAGTGTGCCAACGACGCGGCGTGAGCCCAGCTCAAACCCTGTGGACACCATGTCCGTTCCCGGACCTCTCGGCTTCCGGGGAAAGTTATTACCGATCGCCTCGACAAGGGACACACGCAGCAACTGGAGGCTGCTTACAGGGCGGCTCTACTGCGCCCTTATTTACATGTCTTGGACCCTACAACTTCCGCTCGGCGGATCCCGCTACTGATGCGAAAGACGCAATCACTCGATCGTCAGGCGTCTACGTAGTCGGGGCCCCGGTCACAACACAAGCAGAGCTTGATCAGCGGAGAAATTTGCGAGCTCGCTTTTTGGTACCATGAGAGATCCCAATGGATCGGTACCGCGCTCGAATTCGAGCTCAAAAGGAGTTGCTCCTGTTACCACAATACGTAACATTCCTGTGGGGCTCTCGCTGGCAGAACCGCTGCAGATGAAGATGATCTCCTTGAACAATGGGTGCAGCGGCACCGGAAACTTTCTTCGCTATCTACCTCACAGCGAAGACACAAAGAAGTGGACGTGCGCGTTGAGAGCCATGTCAGATTTAAGTTTGCCAAAAAAAGGCGCAACGCCGACTCCCTACGTATTTTCGCCCCGCGATATATGGAAAAATCTATAACGCTCCTGCGAGCTTTGTGGTTTCTCATACGGGTGAGTCTACAACCACAGCAGCTCTAGGTCATAGCTTTAGCTCAGCTTATGGATCTCTGGATTCTCGGCAGCAGCCCTAGAAGCGCGATGCGCAAGACAACGTGAAGCGCAAACTCCCAAGAGTGTACTTGCCTATCCCAGCCACTTCATAAGTTATTGGGCAGAACCCCGTCGACGACGTCGACCCACAATGCATTCCTCGTGGTAGTGGACGCCACCATTTTTACCCAAAAGAGTCGGCGGTCAACGATAACGCATAGTCGATCGCCGTCCGGTGAATCGCGATGCTCTTCGAGCGTTTAAGAACAAAGTCCGTCGTCATCATCACTCTGCCAAGCATCTCTCCGAGGTCGCCTACCGCTGTGTGGAAGATCTCGAGAGTCTGGAGCCCTTAATGCACCTACTGCCTCTCGTTGAGGATTATCGTGCTCTGTCGGAGCAGCCTCTTGCCATTGACAGGCGAAAACGTCACTTCGTGCAATGGTAGAGAGCCTGGTGTCGTTGAAAACGGAAATTGTTGCGCTCCGTGCTCAAAATCAGTTGCTAGTTCAGCTTTTGGGCGTTCGAGTGCCTCTGGGCGCCGCCCCAGCGCCAACGCTATCGCGTTCACTTGCGACGGATCCCGGTACGGCTTAAGCAAGCCTACATAAAAAAATAGGTGGATGCGCATCTTTCTCGGCAGACTCAGCGTATACGCTAGTCCTCGCTTGGCCACGATCCTAAAAGGTCCAATATTTTTGCTCATATTCGGTACATACTACATCAGATGCTGCATGTGTAGGAAGATTTTTAACATTTGATAAAACTGGGTATCCGACCTCAATGTATTTTCCTATTCCGTCTGCCTATCCCTTCTGCATGTCTTGGCTTTCAGCCATCGCATCGC